CCCCAAAACCCCAAAACCCCAAAACCCCAAAACCCCAGAATTAGAGTACGGGAATAATTTTAAATTTAAATATGCCAAAAACTACCAAAAAGGCTCCCTCGTTGGGTAGGAAGAAGTGGAATGAGAAGCAGAAGGCAGGTCGTGGTGCTAAGAATCCCACAGTTGTAAGGCATCAAGTTCCTCCAAGACAGAATCATCTTTCGCAACAGACTGTGAATAGACTTCACACTCCTACATATTCAGGAGCGCCTCTTACATCTACGACATTGAGAAGAGGAATTGGAAGCCGGGCTTATCTTCCGCATCAGAGAGAGTTTGAAGGGCATAACGGAGCTAGGCAGGAAGACCAAGACAGCACTCAACATAACTTTGCAGTTGAGCAATACCATGCAAGAGAGATGCTTCAGACCCTCTCTGCTGAAGTCAATGGTTTGAATAGAGACAGAGAAGAATTGAGAAAATCCCAAGAAAATGCAGGTAAAGCTTACAAGAAAACAATGGAATATCTCTCACCAGTAATTGAGAACAAACAAGGAGTGAAGATCACTACTCAAGGTGCTGGCAAAGGTGATCCTCCTGAAAAGGTATTCCTTGAGGTTTTAACTCCTTCCAAGAACCAGCCAGAGGAGAACAAAGAGGTTCTCCGAACCCCTACTAAAACCATTGATTTTAATGAAGATAATGAGCATTTCAGGGACACTGATAGAGTACTCTACATGTCCCCTCCTCTGACAAGGTATAACCCTACTCTAATGCAACACACATTCGAACTGAACCTTGATGGAATAACTCTGAAAGATCTTGACTTAATGAAGAAACAAAACGAGGCAAGACTAAAAGCTATCGAAGATAAATATTTCCTAAAAGATGCTGAACTTACTGGAAATGTGACCTTGATGGAAGACTTCACTAAGGATGAGCAATACATCATCAAATCTAGGGATAATATCGCCAATATCCCTCTCAACAGCTTAGCTGAGATTAATGGTGACATGATCAACTTTGATGACAATGAGAGTGAAGCTAATGAGCAGACAAAATCCTTCTCAAAAAGACTCATCTATGAACTCAGATTCGAGAAATACTTAAAAAGAAAAATTAGAGATGAAATTGTTAGAAGAGAAAAATTTCAAAAAGATAAGTACATCTCCCCTGAAGAACTTGGACGACTCCAGAAGAAAGGAAAAATAGAAGCTATGGTCAGGAAAAAGCTTGGAGGTTCGACTCTATCTCCTGAGGAGGAAGAAATCCTGAGAATTCAGGATCAAGCAAAGATTGACTGTGATGATGAGCATCTCATAATCATTAAGCAAATCTTTAATGATTGCCTTGCCGATATTGAGAACAATAATCCTAATGAGACCGTCGAAGATGAGAATTATGAAATAAAGCCACAAGAATCACTAGACAAGAACATCTTCGTTGAAAAAGTTCTGTCTTCTGAAAAGGCACAGCCATTCTTAGACCTCATTGCTAGAGATCCAAAAGGTGTATCAGAGATTGAAGTAGAGACATTTGCTCAAGTTCTTACTCGTCTAAAGAACTATTACACTCATAAATACATTGTGTGGGAGAAAGTTCTTCCGTACTTTACCAGAAAGGGTTCTCCTATCTCAGAAATGGACTACAAAAAGCTTGTTTCCAAAGATGATAAAGACAAAGAAGTTGATGAGAATGAGAAAGCAGCTAGAAATAAGAGGATTAATGGAGAAGTACGAGACAAAATGGCACATATGCCAATGTTCCCAAAGAAAGAAGGAGAAGGTAAATACAGAATCACTATTCCTAATGCACCTCAATTCGAAAAAAGAGACAAAAGGAAAGGCCTCAGCATTAGAGAAAGGAAACTTCAAGAAATGATTAAGTATAATGATCTTGAAGATGAATATGAGCTTTCTAAGAAATTCAGAGCTAGACCAGTCCCAAAATCGACTCTTGAGCCACGCTTTCAGAGAATAATGGAGGCGAATGAAAAGAGAAGGAAAGATGTAAAACAACAATCTATTGCTATGACTAAGCAAAGTGAAAACCCTTTTTCATTCTATGAAAGAGATATGAAGAAGCTCCTCCAACCACCAGTGTACGACCCTGAATATGATGTTATGAACTATGAACCATTTAAAGCTCACCCAGTACCTGGCCATGCCAAGATTCAGATGTTCAGATACAAAACTAACAAGGAAAATAAGGAAAGAGATTCGAGGATCAAAGCCATGGCTGAGCTATCTCTATCCCAATCTAGGCTTCCTCCAAGAATGGCAATGTATGAGAAGCAAAGACTAACTAAAGAGGTCCAAAAGAGGTCTAAATCTCTTGGAAATCCTGAGTTCACATTCAAACCCAAGAAATGTAGAGGGGTTCCAAACTTCGAAAGAATCCATTACAAGTTCCAGAAAGAACTAGACGAGAAGAGAAGGGCTAAAAGTGCAACTAAAGGAGAACCTTTCAGGTTCTGTGAGGCAAAGCCTAACAAAGCTTTGAGACAATACATGGATGCCCAGAACAGGCCTGAGGAGAAGCTAATGACCTTCAAGATGAGAAAGATGCAGACAGAGATTGATTCTCTAAAGCCACCAGCTAAGATTGCCAGAAGCACCCTTAAATACGAATCCCAAGTTGCAATGAGAAGAGCTGAGTTAGAAGAAAAGCTTAGGAAAGAACTTGAAGAAGCTAAAGATGAGCTCGACAGGGAGTATAAAAACACTAGAATGAAGACTAGAGTAATTAAGTCTCCTGCTATTCATGATAACACTCAGTATTTAAGAGAGATGCGTGAAAGAGCCAAGAGACAGGCTAGGGATAACATGGAGATCCTTGAGAAAATCTACGAAAGAAAGAGAGCAGAAATAGACGTTAATGTAGCAAACCGTCCTCTTCTTGTAGAAATGCAATCAAAGAACTTCTATGAAGAATATCTTAGAATGCAGGAAGTTGAGAAGTATGCTAACTTATTGGAGGAAGCCAAGCTTGACCCTAATGAACATCTGAAAGAACATGAGAAAATACTGCTGCAGAAAGCAGAAGCATTTGAGCAGCTTAATGCAGAGCATGCTTATTTCCCTACTGTTGATCAAGCGTTCTTGAGTCAGCCATTCCCAGAACAAATTGATCCCCAGCAGTTTAATCAAGCATATAATGAAGAAAATGATATGGATGAGGAAGGATATATTAATCAAGTAAATGAAGCCCCTGAAATGGAAGAGCAAGATCATACTGAGGGCGGAGGCATGGTACTTCAACCCCCTCAATATGCAATGGACGAAGACGAGTATGAAGAAGAATATGGCCACCCTCCTCAGCCAGAAGCTATGGCTTAAGCAACAAGATTTCTAAATATTTACCTGAGAGCTTAACCTAAGAAAAGTTTAATTTTGATTTCTCTTCAACATACCTTAATTTTACGGGGTTTTGGGGTTTTGGGGTTTTGGGGTTTTGGGGTTTTGGGGTTTTGGGG